TAAAAATTTTATTTATGAATATGTGGACACATGACTTTGGATCCAGCCAGCCAGTGACATAAATAAACTTGAGCAAAAGATTCAAGCCAGAGAATACATAAGTGTGGGGTGTATGTGTGTGTGTGCGTGTGTGTGTGTGTACACATACATATATTTGTGTGTGTACATAAGGTTTCTTGGAGCTGTGCCAAAAACCTGGACACCAACCAACAGAATCATTCCCCATCCTCTGAAATTTCCATTAAAAGCACAATGGGGGTAATTATACCAGGATGCTCCAAATCGTTCATTCCATCTTGTGCACTCATATGCCCGCCAAACATGAAATGTTYGCCTTCTCCCTTCCAATGTGATGGTTGTTGAACTTATTTTTAGTGTCATTTGATAAGCCTTTGTGCTCACAGAGAGACATCCCACTGACCCGGCCACTGGTCATTGTCTATACCAGTTCACATCAAAGCCGGCGCGCTTTGTCAGGTTTCGAGTCGAATATCCATTTCGCATCTGAAGTACAGTATCGAAAGTGACTAGATCATTTGAGCTGTTTTCTTCAGCTGCTGCCTTCTTCCTCCCCCACAGTGTTTCTGCTCACGCTAACATAATCTGGCATCGTCGACGTGACACGATGGTGGTTTTTCTAAAAAATTATAATACATACATTGTCAATGTTTTTTGATGGCGATCCTCCTGAAAATTTAATTTATAAACTGCAGAAAGGAGGTCTTTTTCCTCTACTGAATCATAACCAAAGTAGAGTGCTCCTCAAAATCCAAGTAATGCGCATACAGTAATAGGTCATTCAATGTCAAAAGGCATAAAAAAGATGAGCAAAATCTTCACAGGCTGCTGCTTGCTGTTGCCTTTAATTATATTAATTAAACTTTGAAATTTTCATGCAAAGAGAGTTGCTGGCTTGTGACRCTGAAGAGCCCTTGGAGACTTGAAGGAAGAAAAAACCCTGAGCAGAAGCTTTGTGGTTACTGCTTCCTTTAAATTAAAAGCAAAACAAACTCCTAGGTATGTTTACAGATATTAATGCTTTATGCACTAGTACTCCTAAACACAGGAAAAGGAGGAAATCTACCAGTCTCAGGGACAAAGTCTCAAATCACGAGTCCTTTAAACTCCACTCCAGATCTTTGGTGAGAGGCTGTCTTCCAGTGGAATAACGCTCTATTAATTTTCTTGTCCCAAGTGCATAATGAAAGAAAGGTGTCTTCAAAAACTAAAGGGCAAAATCTTGCTTGCTACCAATACCTTGAGGCATCTTGTCTATCTTTTGTCATGCGTGTGCACTTTTCAGTGTTAGAATGACAAGATTTTCTAGTCAGAAACTTCCCGTAAGGCACACTGTGATAGGGGACTTGGAAGGATTTTGTGATCTGACATAGCTATAAGGCAATAGACTCCAATATTTGCTTAGCCTGGTGGGAAAATTCGTACTCTGCCTGTAGCTACAGATTTTGTCATACAAAAACACAAGYGCCATGTTTGCATGTTAAAAAGTCCTATCTCCATGAAAGACCCATCATGGCTACTGGTTTTGTGGTCTGTTTTGATATCAACTTTACATTGTGGCTGTTTTTGCTTTTGCCTCTACAACACACTCAAATAAGTTTCTTATATAAACCACAGTGTGCAGATTAACATTCTTCTTTATATCAATCTCATCCTTGTAGATAGTCAAGTGAGTGTYTGAAAATATTTGGTGCAAAAAAAGCAGAAGGCTGAGAAAGCATTTCCTGACGGAGAGAAATTAAGCTGCTCTTCCAAAGGTTTCTGAAATGCACTTGACTTTTTTCATCTGGTTGGATGTGAAAATGTGCCATCTTTGTACCTTCTTGGTCTTCTTGCTTTCCTTTACTGAAATGGAACTCTGGAGAAGTTTATGCACCGGCCCTGAAGAAAAAAAGAAATCCTTATTGAAATATTGAASCAATTATAAAGAAGTTTAAGAACATCTAGGTTTTCATACCATAGTAAAACAAATAATTACCCAAGGAAAGATCAATGTTCACATGAGACACAAAGTCATACATTCTTTTCTTTGGGTSGAAGCATGATGGTTCATTAATCTTTTCCACAGTAACTTTACCTACCTGATGCTATGATAAAATTTGTATGGAAAAACATTTCAGAACTTTAACTTTGTTACTGACATCTGAAGTACAACACCATACAATGGCAATCATAATATCAAAGCTGCCACCCTATATGCTTCTAATAATGAATTAAAATTAAAATGCTTTCTTATGTAACTTGATCTTCTAAAATGTATACACAAGGAGCACATTTYAGCACAAGAGACAGAGATTAAGGAATCATGAGAATAGGAAGAGATGCTGTCTTTGTGATTCYACTTTATGACAGCCTTTGCAATAGACTTATTCTTGATCACGACCATTTTTGTTGACCAAATTTTGYTGACCACAGCTGCACACTGCCATGATGTGTTCTCTCCAAACAGTAACTATTTATTTGGACTATTCAAAAGAGAATTTGCCAGTCCAACTTTTTAACTTTTTGATGAAGGTTGTGTAGACCTATTGTTCCATACATAATTGTAAAGAATCTGGGAATTATTTGAAAACAAATTTTCAAATCAGTGATGAAGGGTCSGTTTCCTTTGCTCTCTTTTAGTATGACATTGCTGATCCACAGCACTCCATGAACCATGTTCTGGTTCCTCAAAATGGCTAAAAGCCAGGACAACATTTTCCAGTTTAGTACCAGGGTTATCAACCTGTTGAGATTTTTCTATTTCTTATAACATCTGTTCATAAACCATTTCAGATTTTAGACCTTYTATTTCTTCCCCTCTAAATGTAAGTTTAAGTATCCATAGCATGGCAAAATTCAAAAAGAACAAAAAAATACTSTTGAAGAAGAAAGCTTGAAATGTAAAAGTGTGGTTTTTGTCCATTTTGCTTTCAAACATGACTGCTCCATAAATTTTGAAATTTCAGAAACTTATGGAGAAACAGAAAAGCATAAAGGAAAAATGGAGTTAGGAATTTCTATTAGCTTTTGCTAAAAGGCAAGCAGCCATGAAATTATCTGTCTCTAAATAACTTTGGAGGCAACATTATTACTATAATTGCCAATTTTATTACTTACTTTCCCCTTACTGTCTCTRAATTTAGGTGGCTTAGTGTTCAGGGAATAATATAACATGTAACATATTATAAATCATAACTATAATTCTTTACATTATTAATATGAAAAATAATATCAATTTAATTTTCTCTTTTTTAATTTTGAATACAGTATATTTTCCAAATAATATTGTTAACTTAAAATCGTGCATCTAAATTATGAGTAAAATCCAAATATATTGTGATACATTAAGCAGCACCCCTACTACTTATTCAATTAGGCCATCAATACAACCCCTCTGAATCTGGAATCATGACTTATAAGTCATTAAGTCATAAACTTAGAACAACATTTTGTCAATATAAAATTGAATTAAATTAATGTCTTAAGACTTTGCTAGTTTAAAATGAACTATAAATATATTCCATTCTTTTGCTTCAGGAATGTAGCACTCCTAGAAACAATGAAATCATTGTTAAATTGCATAATATAATTATTACAAGCAGATTTTTAAAAATATTTAAAGAAATTAAAGGTAGGCACAACAAATAGAATTTTACTACAAGTTTAGGTTATAATCAAATGCATTTAAAGTGCATTAGTTCAGAAATTGTGATAATTCAGATATTAACTGATTAAGCTGTTGATCTTTCTCAATATATTAAAAATAAATTAGGSAAATTAATACTAATCAATATTATTATGGGCAAGTTTACCAACTTAAATGTTTGATAGCATATAAAAAGCATTTATATATTAATAATTTACATTGTATTATGATCTTGCTATGGCACTGTTTTATTTATCTAATAAAAATTATGGCTTAAAAAGAATAAAACTGCCTCCCTTTTAAAGCACATTACCTAGTTAGAAAAGAAGCTTCATGCCTTGCTAGTGGAAGCACAAATTGGCAAAAACTATAGGGTGAACAAAGTATGTAAAAGTGGCCTTAAAAAGCTTAYATTCTTTGACTCAGTAATTACATTTTGGGAACTTTTCCCAATAAAATGGCTAGACAAGATTTTTAAAATCCTCCCTGGGATTTTTATAAAAGTGAAAAATATATTCTGCCAATTTGTATTTCTTTCTGCCCAACAATTCAATGAATAAATTATGAGTCATCTATCTGACTCAATGTTTTGCAGCCATTAAAGTAGAAAACTTTGTAAAGATGTAGGAAAATGGTAAATGAAAAGAAAAATCATGCATATGTACATGATTRTAATTATTCAATATACATCTAAAAAGTAGAAGACAACAGAGAACACACAGCATGCTGTGGTTAGTGGGACTACAGGATTCTTACTCTCTATATCTTTTCTATAAATTCACATAGTTGCTAATTTTAAAAAATCATAAGTTTTCAAATAATAAATTCAATGAGCAAAAATGAATTCCTTTCCAAACATTTATGTTTTTTCAAAAGTCAGCCCAAGACCTATTGACTACTCTTAGGATTGTCACCAACTGCTAATGGCATCAAAGCTTTTCAGCACTCAGTGTCCCAGGGGTGGACCCGTTTATCTGTCTCTGGGTTGTACTTAACAGTTCATGTCCTGGTTGACCCATCTCAGTAAAGTTCAACTCAAGAGTGCACGTGTATAGCAACAGTAGATTTACTAATAAATATAACCCACACAGCATTTTATATAAATATATAATCTATAGTTGGCATTAAAAATTCTGTGATATGAACCAACATTTTTATTTTTGTGGTAMAAAATTTAGGAGCTTCCATGAAATGGCTGTTCAACCATCTGGCAAGATCACCATTGCCTKATTTTTAAAAATATGTTTGTGTATATGTGTGGAAGGACAGGTAAGCACACATGCACAGCATACTGTATGCCTTGTGCATACTGGAGTTCATTACATTTAAATACGGATATAAGGGAAGATCTTCAATTTTCATACCATATCAAACTTTCTAACTAAATAGCTAATATCTAGGGCATATATTTCTCCATTAATTAATGGCACAGATATTCATACTTCAGAGACTTATTAATGATAATTTTAGAATTACTTCTCTACATCATCAATACTAGTGAGCTCATATGCTTCCTTTTTATTATATAAAAAAATTGAAGAGCTTTCCTTATATTTGTGCTATATAAAGGCAAATATATAGCACAATCTTTTTGTCTTTTAGCTTTGGCTTTCAGAAGATCATCTTTATAGCATGTTTTAATATTACTTGCTATCCTTATAGGATATTTTCTGGTATGGCTATACCCTGACTTTAGCCCATGATTATTACTATTTTTACTCTTATGAGGTTTTGTTATATTTTTTCCCTCTCAATAGYTTTTTAGAAGTAGCCTTGTTATAGGTAAATATAAACTAATATGAATTTCTTACTTAATTCTCAACTTTCCCAGCCACAAAAACTATGCAAAATCATCTTAACATCAAAAACCTCTAGCAAAAATATTGCCTCAACTTCTGYCTTATGTAAAAATAAATAAATAAAAGACCCATCGATTTCTTTTCTACATAACCTTTTCTTATTCTGGTAGGACATAAAGAGGTACTCTGTAGGTGTCAAACACAGTAATTCATGATTTGTTTGAACTTAATCTGAATTAAGCTTACACAAATAATACAAACTTAATGTTTAAAAATGTCAATATTGAAACTATACTATTCTTCATGCAATCCCCAAAGTTCTACTAAAACATAAATCCTGTSAGTCTAAATACATAAAACTTAGCTTCATTTTGTTTGCATTCTAGGAAAAAGTATGCACAAGGTGATTCTTTACAAACTGGAAATGTATTCACATTCACAATTTATCTCGTAGGGCAGAGGTATGTGTGGAAGTTTTACTCTATTACAAACTTTCACTCCTCATGAGAAGGGACAGAATGCACCAGGCACGGATCACAAATAAAATACTGATCATAACAAGGTGAAACTCAGAATCAGAATCTGTCAGCTTTTACTTCATTTAAGAGATTTTTCAAGCAATAACTAATATCTTACTAGTTATACATCATTACTCTGCAGTTAACTAAACCAAGAGATTAAAACAAGACAACMGTAGAAACTGGTGTCTGCTGTTRGTTAAGTATACAGACCCGACTGTGCTACAGTATTTAAAACTGATTTTATTCCCTCATTTTTACTGTRGTCAGTAAGAACAGCACTAACCAGAGAAAGTGCCATGTTTCCCATCTCTGGAGCATTAAAATTCCACTGGCATTAATGCCTGTGAGCTCCTTTACTAGCTATCTGCACAGGATGTATTTCACTGCTATAACCGTTATAGGATTATGCTCACATCATAAATATCCATTGACAAGCTGAAGCAAACAACTGCACTTTAGTTTAGACTTTTCAAACACAGAGAGCTGATTTATTTGTATCTCTACTTCTAAGAGGAGGTTACTAAACCTTCATGTTCYGTACAACAGTAAACAGTGTTTCAAATTTTAAATTGTACACAAAAGCAATGATACATATAGACCTAGCCACAAAGGTCCTGGAAATCACTATTATAAAGACACACTTGAGGGATTGGGGTTGTCGCTCAGTGGTAGAACACTTGCCTCACACGTGTGAGGAACTGGGTTTGATCCTCAGCACCACACAAAAATAAATAAACAAAATGAAGGTATTGTGACCATCTACAACAGACAAAAAAAAATTTTTTTTAAAGAGACGCTTGAGAACACAACAGGCTTTTGAGATTGCTGAAGCAACATATGTTCAAGACTTACAAAAAGACAAATACTATCCCTTCTCTTCCTTTTTATTTATAGAGTCTGTGATAGTCTTTGCTTTAAGTCAACTGACAAGAT